GCAGGAATAGAGAGACAAAGGTGTGCTTATGGGAGAAGCAAATGGGTAGCTCATTATGGCAAGTTCTACTAGAAGAAGAAGGAAGAGAAGAGAGGTGGGTCTGGAAACCAAAGACAAGAAGTTTAAACTTCTTCAAGTGACAGAGAAAGACCCAGATGATGAAGTCATGACAGAGGTGGCGAGAGGAGGGAGCGTGCCAAACTACAGTCCTCTCTCTGTACTGAACTCTGGAGACTGAACTATTTCTAAGGTGACAAATAGTGATACCCATCCCAGGTGGTTCAGGTAGAGGATTACTATTTCTACAGTTGTCTGTGCCATTAGCTCAGCAGCAGATGGCCAGCGCTCCTAGCTTCACTTCTGCTGATTAAATATTTTGAATCGTAAATAGGCAATTCAACTAGAATTCCTATGCTTTGGGTTGTTTGTTTGTTTTACTTATTTATCACAGTTTTAGTGTGGGAAGTTACACCTGAAAAGGTACCCAAATTAAACACTTAACAAATGTCAGCATGTTTGATAATATGACTTAATCTTTCTATGCCGTGAGTTGCCTGTATATACGGTCACGGTAACACCTTTGCATATCTCACATGGGCGTCGAGGAGAGAAACATGTTGTCTTTGGTTCACTCAGTTGCTGGCCTGATGTTTGGAAAAACTAAGGGGTTTCTGTTCAAATGAAGGTTTAGGTTGTTGCTCAAATGAGGTCTGAGCCTCAGGTTGAAAGGTAAGGTTAAAACTTTAGGCAAAGAAACAGTTCCTGGAACACAGTGCAGTCTGTATCCTAAATGAGGCAGGGGTGGCAGAGGTAAAATACATAACAAGCAAATAAAAGCTATACCATCTGCACACCCATCAACCTTCATTCAAACATTTCCTGACTTCTGAATGCTTGACTGTGTAACTCTTAAAATAGGAGAGTTTTCTGAAGCATACCAATAGTCAAATGTGATTAGCTCAACTGAGTGGTTTGAGACCCTTTAAGGATGCAATCACTCAGTGCAGTTGGTCTGTGGTAATCAAAATACTTGACTGTGTAAATGTGAAATGTATTGTATAGTCCAAAGTCTGTAATAAGCAATAAATTATAATGATGAGTCCATCCTAGCTAAATAGCACCCTGTATAGCTTCATAAGTAGACAGGCTACTCATTCCTCATATACAAGGTGACATATTTTTGGTCAGTTTAATTTAAATTAAAATTCTGCCTTTTTCTTTGTAGGAATTAAAATTCTGATGCTCGTAGTGAATACTAGCATGATTTCTAATGTTCTTTCCATGGGCCAAATAGTATTTTAAATAAATTATCTTTTCAAGCTGAATTAACTGAGCTTAATGAGTTTAAATAAAAGCACCACTCATGGCTAGCATTTTAGATGATGAAGGATTGGGGCTTAAGCTTCTTATCTGTTCATAAATTTTCTAATCTGTGAAATGGAGATAGTTATGTCTAAGGGATGTTATGAAACCTATGTAACGTTAATAAGACTCCTTGAGGTCTTCCAGTAAAAATGTAAGGAGTTAATGTCTTTTAATGCCAATTGACATTTTCCATGATAATTAATTCGATACAGTTGTTAATTCAGTGTTGTAGAACTGAAAAAATATATCATCGTGAAAACCAGAGAGAGACATTGATGGGAGGGCCTGATTCAGTGTTCTTGAACTTGATGGAGAGAGCGTCATTGTTTTCAAGTGGTATGGGATTAAGTCCCACAAATAAGTATGTGAGAGATCATCTCATTTCACTGTCTCCAAGAAAACAGATGTAAACAGGAAGCAGAGAGGAAAAATAGTAGGAAGTAAATTACACTTGCCAAGCTGAAATAATAATAAGAGAATACGTATGTTCACCTACATGAAAAACTCTTTGCAAGAGTAGGGCACGCTCCCATGCTTTGTTTGCCATGTCAATAACATGTGTGACACACAGTCTCAAGGCATATATCTTAAAAAAGCAATAGGGAAAAATTGGAAGAGCTCCTGCATAGTTTAGGATCAGGAGCCAAGGCAGCCTAACCTGATCTGAGTCCAGGCTACCACGTGCTCCCCAGGGAGGCCGGCTTTCATAGAAGGTCTGAAGCCACACTCACGGTCTCCTTTACGTTGTCAAATGCAATTTGAATGCTGTGAAGGTTTGGCCTTTAACGGGCAGATCCCACAAAGTACCTGAGTATATAAACACAGACCTAACGCCAACTTACATGTTCTTGTGCCAGTACTGTTTGCATTGATGAGCTGTCGATCTCACTGGCATGGGTAGCTTGAGCTGGGCTGCCCAAAATGGTTACTGCCCCCAGTTCTTCTGTCAGGACCCGGTGCTTTTTTGGCAGGGAAATGCATCCCATGTGGAGCATTTGCTGAATCCCCACACTTTGCAGTGTGAGAAATAAACCCGGTGCTGTAAATTTGAGAAGCGCAGAATCTGCTTCATCTTCTGTTCCATCATACCCTTCCCTGGCAGAGAAGGGGAGTGGGAAGCTGTGAGCAGAAATGCCTTCAGGCATCTGAGTCCAGCCAGCCTGGTTGCAAATCAGCAGCTGGGGTTCCCTGCTGCGGGGAGAGACATTTATCAGCTGCTATGCTTAGGGGGTAAATTTCTTAGAAGCACCAAAGTGCCTTCCTCCGTGCCTTCACAGGAGCCATCGCTTCACCATATGGCTGTTGACTCCAACTGGGCTGGTGCAAGTGTGATTGACAACACTTCTTGCAGTATTTAATCTGCATACAGCAGTTAGATTGACCCTAGAGAGTAATTGGATTACCGGGGTGTTTCAATTAGTTGATGAGATAAATAACCCTATCCCATAGCATTAACAGGATGAAGTCCAGCACGGCTGAAGCTTTGCCACATGCCCTCAGCTTGAGCTCCAAAAGTCACTTGGGTTTTGATGTCCATATGTAAACAAAATCAGGATGGGAGATTAACTTTTCCTTACAGCGAAGACAGGATTTTACAACTGATGCTCACATTTTATGGCCCATCAACCATGGTTCCATGGATCATTACAGTGGCCTCCCAGATCACTGACCAAAACTGTGTTGGTTTGATGGTGGGATGCAGTGGGGAGTTATTCTATTTTGCCATCTGTAAATATTTTTCCCTATAAAGCTATTTAGCATTTTTCCCACGGGAAATAAATGTAATAATTAAAATGCTTCATGTCACAGTCTTTTTCTGTGTGTTGTACGCTTCTTTTTTTTAACCTAAAAAACAGGATGCTGCATTTTTTTCCATGAAAGCCAACCAGCCTGGATGAGGATGCTATTCCCTTTTAAAACAGAGCTTTCTAGCTTCTGTCTAAGGTTTTTTTTTTCCCTTTAAAACAGTTTGCATGCCATAAAGGCTACCATGTGAGCTGCTTGCTCTGAGCAGGATTTGCCTGTCCCAAATCAAAACTTCTACAAAGCAGATGGAGGTATTTCCAGCTGAGCTGGTCACCCCAGTCCATGGCAGAGGGGTGCTTTTACGTATTAAATGCCTATGCTGGGATGAGTTCAGTTTCAGTCTGGAAGTACCTTTTTCCATTGACTATAAGGGAAGCCTCGCGGAGCCTTGTTCAGCTGAAGGCATTGGGTCAGATGAATCTCCCCTTCTGTGCCTGAAGTTGTGGGAGGATGTTTCCAGAGAGTGTCCATGAAAATCCAGACAGGAAACAAGATTTCTCAGGGTTTATTTAAAATGAAAAACTTTTTCTAAATTTTTTGCAAGCATCAGCAGTATGAGAATAAATCTATTCTTAACTGTGCTTTTTCTTTAGTGCTGGAAAGGAAGATTTCAACAAGACAAAGCAGAGAGGAGCTGATAAGAAGGGGAGTGCTGAAAGAAATGCCTGAGCAAGGTGATAACACATTACCTAGAATTTAGCTCCTGAGTGCTAAAGATGGATGATAAAGCCACTATTGCATTGTTTCCATGTAGTATAAATAGGTACGAGGAGACAAAGCTGAGGAGTGTGAGAGGCAATTTGGGCCAGTTGACAAAAAAGTAAAGTTTGAGTTGAGAGATTTGTTTTCTGTAACTTTTCTTGCCACAGGTACACTATCTGGCTTCTGGTCATACGCTTAAGTATTTTGATGCTCCCTGTAAATAATGTGACTCCTGTGGGTCCTACTTCCTGTTTGCCAGAATTTTTTTAAGTTAGTGATTAATGTATTTTTTGAGTCAAGGTCTGCTGTCTAAAGCAACTGGAGTATAATATGAGAAAATCTGGCTGAAAAATTAGAGGCTGTGGGACCCCCAAGCAAATCAATAGCATCCATTTCAGGTATCAAAAAGTACCAGTGCTGGGATTGTACAGATCCCACCACTATCACACACACTGTATTCACAAATGGCACAAAAATAAAATGGTGGGGAAGATACCACTTGTTTCAAAATGCTATAAGGTTTAGTAACTGGTATTAACCAGAATTTGTGTTTCAAAAAGCATGAGTAAACCATGGTTAATACATCTGTGCTACATTTGATTTATGTTTCTAGTGGTATTCTTCTTTCTAATAGTCTTGATCTTCTATAAATTTAGATCAAATAAGAGTCAAGTAAGTAAGCTTAAAATTAAACCATTTGTCATTTTATCAAGGAGTTTCAGAACTCTGTGATTTCCAAAAATATTTTTCTCCTGGAGATGGTGTTTCTCTGCCTGAGCTGAAGAATCCTGAAAGTATCAATGTGTATGGTTAGTGTCATACCCATTGATATTTAGAAGTAAAGGGCTTGTTTGTCGACACATGACATCACTTGTCTTTACAGTGTTTTGCTAATGACCAGGCTATGGCATTCAGCATAGCTGGCTTCTGAGCTTGTCTCTGCCACTGTCTTTGACTTAAAACAAGAAATGCAAATTCTCCATACCTCACTTTGTTCCTCTGTGAATTTGTTACATTTTTTTTGCTACATGCTTTACTGGGGAGCTGCGTGACTTTGTCCATTGATGGTTGGAAATTGCATTTAGACTGCTGGGACGGTTAATGAAATGTGTTAACATTTCAGGTTGGTTACAAGCAGTGTGAACATAAATACTATCATTTGTGCTAAAAGTGTGTATGCTTTGGTCATCAGTCCTTGACCCTCTGTTCCGCTCTTAAAAGGGGATGGGAGTTTGGATCCCTTACAGAGACTGAGCAAAGTCAGAAAAGGATGTGAAGATGAACAATTTTCTTCCCTTCCACCCATCTTAAGAAGACTCTCAATCCGGTCCCTGTTGCCTTCATCATGTTGTGCTTCCTGTCTGATGAAAATGAGTTTTTAAGGAGCAGTCTGAAAGAATGCAAGACTGGTTTGAAGGTGCTAAGAAGAGAGATGCAGAAAAGACAGTGGTTGAGCAATGTGAAGGTAGTTAGAAGGAATGACTATGGAGAGGAAAGCTAGATCAGGGAACTACATGGAGTCTTGAAATGTGAGAGGTAAGTGTGAAAAAGCGACCGTTCCACATGGGATGAAGAAAAAAGAAGTGGAAAGTGGTAAGTGCCACTTGGAGGCAGGAGGTGTTTGCAGAACCATGACATGGATAAGAGGTGGGAATGCCACATGTGGAGGCAGAGAGGAAAGAATGGATTTTTGAACATCTGGAAGAAAGAAGCTGAAGACACTAAATGTTGAGGTAAGGTAAGAAGGAAGCCTTGTGCAACTGCCAGCTGTAGTGAATGAGGCAAGGTTATGGTGGCAGAACTTAGTTGTAGTGTGTGGGTGAGAATGAAACCATCAGCTTAACCCATGGAGCAGCCCAAGGTGGTAGGAGAGAGGCTGCGTAACTGTTTTGAAACCAGGGAACTGCCAAGCATCCAGCTCTGATAGCACACAGCAAGGAAGGGGAGGAGGAGAAGAGAATGGGGTTACCAGAATTAATGAAGAAACAATGGGACGAATGAGAAGAGTCATGAGGTAGATTTGCATAATTTTTGATGGACAGCAAGAGAATCCTGCAGAAGGAAAGCAGTCATCTACATGAACTGCAGGTGGGGTGTGAGCAACATAAGGATTAACAAGCCTTAGAAATGACCAGAGAAGAAAATCAGCAGCAATTTTAAAAGGCATGGAACAGAACAGAAATTGGCAAATAAGGGAAGAGAAAGCTGTGAACCAGCAAGAGTATGTAGCATTTTTCAGGAATATAGAGACAAAAAGGGAAAAGAAAGACTTTTTTTCAGGATTAAAAAATCCTCATAGCTGGAGTAGTCTGGGTAAGTGACTAAAATATCAGAGCTGGGAAAGAATTTGACTTGCAGAATTTAATAATGATGTGATACGTGATACAGGAAGACCTCACCATGGTTTTTAAGACTGGATAATGACTTTGTGACCTATTTTATTCATTAACTGAGCACACATATCCTGAGAACTTCTGTCTGAACTCCTGGCTGATTTACCTACTGAGATGCAACTCTGCCCCCTAATTGTCCAGATTTGGGGCCTGTTGGAACATGTCGGAGCTCCGTTGTGGTCCATGCACATATTTCTTTGCTGTGTAAATGAAGATGCAGGGAGGAAGAGAACAGGATGCTAATGTGTACAGACACAAAGCTGGACCTGAAAATCCAGGTGCACTTCCAGGCCCCCAACAGCAGAGGTGTCTACTAAAAGAACATGGAAGCCTATAGAGTTCCTTTACAGCACTAACCTTCCAGAGCAGGTCTGCAGCCCGATGTTTCACATTTCAGTAAGTCTTTCTGCTTTGCTTCCATGGAAACTTGAAAGCAGAGGGATGCTGTGCGTTGTCAATAGGTGCTAAGGAAGCAGTTAAACTAGACAATAGCTTTTTAATTTTCATTTCAGATGGTGATGTAACAGTAAATTTTGAAACTTCAAATGGACACACCATAGCCATTGGTGAAGAAGCCATACAGGAAGAAAATGTGGTAAAAGCCAGCGGAGATAACGGTACGTTATCAGAGAAAACATCAGCAGTGGAAGGAAAAAAAGAAGATCAAAAAGGTAAACGAACACATTCTTCACAAACTGTTTTTCACCTACTTAAAAAATTAACATGTTCTTCTATTAGCACCAATACATGCTGTGAGTTCTGTTCTGCCACAAGGATGCCAGCAGAACCTACTGAGAAGATAAGACTTGTGAAACACCAGTATTTCGTCACTGGTAGGCATGCCTTTTACTGTGGATATAATAAGGGCATAAAGAGAAGCATGGTCTGAGCATGAAAATGTGGGCAGGGATGTTCAGTTTCTAAATTCAGTGTGAGCCGTTCCTTGTAGCCATGAGCAAGCTTTGGTTTCAGCTTTTCCTCTTGTGAAAGAAGACAGTGCATATGCATCACTTTGCAGTATCATTGTAGAAGTGGCTTATGGGTTGAAAGTTCAGAAGTGTTTAAGCCACTTAAAAACCATGTATCATTTTGAAAGTAACTTTGGTAACATTCCTGTTGGTTTTCATTAAATCTTCAACACTTGCAGTCCAGCTCTTCAGAAATACTCAAGGGGCTGTATCACTGCTGCAAACTGAACCTAGGTCATTTCTGAAAAACGTACTTTATGACTAGAGGGTTTTCTATAAATGAATTGCAGTAAATGCTGCTAAATATTTAGCAGTCCCAAAGTCCATATTGATTTTATTACCTTTACTCAGATCTACCTTGGTAACAAGAGTTTGACTGAGTAAAAAAAAAGTGAAGATTAAGGCAGAATCACAGGATTTGGACCAGTTTGTTGGTGTTTTTTTTTTCTCTCTAGCCTCTTGAATAATGCACCACTTCTTTTCCCTCTCAAAAAGTGTTCTAAATACTGTTCCATGTATTGGATTTCCCTGGGGGAAACAGCAAGGATACAAAAGATCAAGAACTTCATGGCTGGCTGTTAGACTGAGCAGCCTTTCCAATGTCTTCTAGTAACCTCTACCTAGTGATGAATGAGCCTCTGGCGGTTGAGGGGGCCCGTTCGGCTAACACAAAAATTTGAATTCTTCTCCGAGCTATGTAAATCACTTGACTGTGTAAAAAGTGGCTGGATGTCCAAGGAGAACAGCCTTTCTTATGAGATTTCTAGTACTTCCTGTCTCCCAACAAGACAGAAATACAAGAATAGCCTTTTTCATGACATTTAAATACGTCTATCTTTTGGTGCCAACTAGAACCAGATGTGTAGTGGGTCAAGGGAAAAGAGTTATAAAAGCCATGGAAAACTCCTTTAAAATGCTGCAGGTTAACTTTGGGGTTAGATCACACCACTTATGTGCCACTTATGATTTTATGCATCCCTAAATACAGCCTTTTGGAACTGTCGGGGCTTGGAATTTTTCCTAAGGTAAGGGTTCTTTTATTAGAAGTACACATTTCATTGAAATCCCCTCTATCTGACTTTGCAGAATGTAGAACTCCAATGGAGCAGGAAAGGTTCAATATCTATTTCAAATATATTATTACCCTCGGCACTCCCTATATATTGTGTTGACCTTACAGGGAGAAATTAAAAATGATTGCTGTACAGGAATAGACTCAGTACAGAAGAATATGTAGCTGTCACTCCAGCCCCTCTCAAAAAATGAAGTACATATGGAAGAGGGAGAAGGAAAACACAAAATGAGCAAACTTGGTATTCTAGGCTTCATAGAATGTCAGTATGACCATACAGAAGATACAAAACACTTCAAATATACTTTCCTCTTACATCTAAACATGAAGTTCTTCTATGCGTAAACATCTTGAGGAAGAAGATAGATTTATTGCAGAGTCTGCCCAAAAAAGGTGTTAAGAATCAATTCCACACATCAGCAACGGTGTTACACAGTGCAAATCCAGTACACGTCACCGGATAGTCATTGCAAGTACCCTTCAGTTATTCTTTACTTTATAGCACATTGAGCAAGAAGGCGAGCCACTCTGTTGGACTCTGTGGAAGAGTAAGGCCCACTGCAGCTCACGGGTGCATCTCACCTGACAGATTAATCCTCGATGATTTTTTACGGGAGATGCAGTAGGTGTGCTTCACACCCACTGGCAGAGTGAGGAATTAGCAGCCGCAGAGTGGAGGTTTGCTAAGGCTCACAGAGCATCACAGTAAGAGCTGGAGCAGGAATACCTAGCTCACTGTCCTCTGCTCAGACCATAAAACATGCTGGAGTATCAGATCACAACCCTCCGTCACGAGAACTGAGATAGGTGGAGTGAAGACCAGCTGGGGGTAATGGATGCAAGGCGTTCATCTTTAGTGAGGCCAGTGTTAGGCTTTTTAGAGTCGTGAACTCTTATGTGCAAATCTTGAAGGAAGTTATATACACTTTCCATGTTTATGAGACCCGAAGACAGGATTCATTCCTGC